TTTGCACGAATGGGTCGGCTCGTCTGGTGTAATACCACGACCGCACAGAAAACGCGTGAAGTGGAAGCAATTCCGCGTTTCGTGTGATGAGTGTGGTGCCGGAGTTCTTTCTAATTTAAGTCCCTTAACCTTTCCACCCTTTTTTATGAGGAAAGGATAGGAAGGAAAAGTTGATTTGACGGTCATGGAAACGCATAGGAAGGTAAATGTCCTCTATGTGCGTCTCTTCCTCCGTCAATTAGGCAACGCATCTGCAATTACGGATGTTTATGGGCAGCAGTCGCTTTCCATTTTGATGGATTCATGTGGCCACTTGCTCATTTGCCGCCTTATATTATAAAAAGAAATAGGTCTGTGATCATTAAAAGTAAAAGAAAAAGTAGGCATAACTTTTCACTTTTATTAAATAAATTCAATACAAACATTCTTGGATCATACAAAACATTCACATCACATACATTATCATTTAGTTATTGGGATTTATTTCAATAGTCTTAATGGATTCAGGCTCGAGTAAAACATCAATATATCTTGTAGCACTAATTCTGATCCGAACATTTGTTTCATAATCATTCCTGAAAAAATACAATGAATAAAGGTAAATATTTAACGAAATTTTTGCGCTTATTTTCATAAGTACCGTGCGAACGGAATAATTCTAGATTGGATGGATTCTAGACCAACAACCATTGGAATCGCTGTTTAACATTTTATTATACTAAATATTATTAAAACTAACCACATAGGAGATTCAGTTTTTTCCTGAGTGTATTTTTTGTTATTTTCATACTAAAATTTGCAAAAAAGGTAACAAAAATTTCCTAACAATGTGATTTGATGTCTAATTTTTTATTCCACAAAATCACTTACGTATTCTGCAGAACAAGTACTAAATTCCCCTCCGGCGTGACAACAGCAATATTCTGAACGGTGGCAGAACTCATCCGCGATACTTCTACCACTTGCGATCCCCTCGGGATGAACTTAGAGAAGTGTCCCAATGCGTAGTACATGGGCTGTTTGACAAACTCGTCATTTTCACCGAAAACAAGTATGGGAGCATCGACGTAGTTGTGCGCCCAGTTCGGACCTCCGTGCTCATCTAAACATAAGTTCCAATCTATCCAGCCAACAACGTAGTTGTTCAAATCCTGTGAAAGTTAATTAGTGTTTAAGTTAACAAATATATTACAAAAATACCAAAAGACAAGAAAACGGGCTTCTTTCACTGGTCATATTTGGATAGACATTTACACTTAGTGGAATACAGCTTGTTTTAGCGACTAATGCTGTAGAACTAACATAGCTAATGTTTAAAAAAAATTGATTAATTGAGTTCTCGGTTTTGTACGATATTTAATTTGTATCTACCTCCAGAATACTGCGTGTGTATTTTACAGCGCGATCCCATGACCCGATCTCCACCTTGTGCTTATCCCACGGCATAGGACCTATGATATAAAACTTGTTTAAATTTGGAACTTGAAATTTATTTCTTCAGTGTAAACGCAGTGTACCTTCACAAGCTTCAGTCGAGAGTAGGATCTTGCCAGGATACCTCTTCTGGATCCTTGTAAGTACGCTTGCCGGCATGAAGTTACCGTAGTAATGTATGGCGATACCGTCGATGTACTCGATTGACTTAGGATCTTCTTTCTCCATCTACAATGTCAAACAGCTTTAGGACCCTTACCAAAAATGGTATCTAATACCTTTCAAGTTATTAAAAAAACAGTAATAAAAGTCTTAATATTACTCTTAGCAATATCGGAATTTATAATTGTACTTACACCTCTCAACCAGATTGGTATGATGTATCGCTGGTCATCGACAGCTAAGATTAGAGTTTCATTGAAGCGAGAATTCCTTACGCTTGGTCCGAGATTATTCGCTACCCACCGCCCCTGGAAAATCAAGCATTATTTAGTAACCTGTTTTAAATTAAGCATACTAGTATTATGATGATGAAAATTTAGATCGATGGATGTTTGTTTCTCTGTGTAACGGATCTCGCCCTAATTAGGCATTCATGTAGAACTTGCTTTCACCCGCGACC